TCCTTGATCTTTACATATATATATGTATTATTTTTATATAATTTTACAAGAGGAGTGATTTTTAATAGGTTTATTTTCTTTCCTATATAGTGTTAAAAATAAAAATAAAAAATATAACATTTTGAATAATGGTTTCACGGGGTGAGTTATAGAATACGTTTGGTATGTTTTGTTTATCTATAATAGATATTTTAGGATAGACAAACAGTTTCATCTTTACCCTAAGGGCACGTGTGGTACGAGCCCAGGGCCCCCGGCTTATGGGGGCCCAATACAATTTACATTTATACGATTTTCTTTGGTTTTTTTAAAGGGCCCCTTAACTTTGTCTGACCAAAGGTCCCTGCATAGCCTAAGACGGCTCTGCGTGCAAGTATAAAAATTGTTATACCGCGGTTGACGGTTCGGTAAGGTACCTTAGTTCAAAATGAATACCGGTATGAAAAAGATATGCCATAAATATTGTCAGCACTTCAATGACCTATTTGTATTATCTTTACTTTACCAGACAACTTTTGGTCGATATGATCAGTGTCTTACAGCTGATGTATTTGGAAACGAGTTACTCAAGTGCGTCAGCTTAATACACAATATCGTATGTCAACACTGTTGACTCAACAGAGCTACAAAATCCCGAGTCAATACTGCCCTAATCGACGTTACTTAGAATTCCACGAGATTCTCCTCTTCACACATGCGATTTACTAATGTATATTGGTTTTTCTTTGTCCGAGTTGTTTTTATTGTTTCCCCGCAAACCGCATTCCGCCATCGCATCGGATCGTTTCCATCGAATCCAATCGTTTGCCAACGGCCATCCACCGAGAAAACTCAAATTGACACCGTGAGCGCAAATTGAAAATAATTTCGAATAATTTCTAATAATGTTAATAGTAATGATAATGCTAATAAATATTATATAGAAACACTATAGGCGTCGGCGGCGAATGATTAAACTGCGTCGTTCGGGGAGGATGTTCAGCTTAAACGGGTGAGACAAAAAGCGATTTGTCTTGAAATTACCAAATAAATCCGGTAGTCGAGACGCGACCAACCATAAAAAAAAAAGGAAATTTTAAGGGATTCGAAGTGAGCGCCTGTAATATATAGGGTATAACTGCGGACGTGGTGATTATATTATGGTAGAAATTGTTGTATTTGGCTATTGATCTCGAAAATTCAATCGGTGTCATCGCATCGCAGTACTTTGTATCGTCGTTAAAATGATATTTTGTAAATTACCAACGGTATATTTTTGGCGATGAAAGTAAATCACGACCTCTCCTTCGAAAGTCCGGATAGGTCAGAAAAAAAAAATACTGTGTTTCTCATTAATGTCCGAGTCAAACGCATAAAGGGCAACGGCAATAATAAAACCACTTAGTATTCGTTTTGAAAATCACGATGACAATTATTATTATGTTTGTGTACAACAATCGTTACGAAAATAGATTGTTTGACTCAGCGGATAGATATTCAATTTTTAAAACGTAAACGTTATTGAAAATAACTGTTAAAATTATACACTACGTAATTAGTAGGTTTGTTTGTCGAATTGATTAAAATTTAAAATTGTTTAAACTAATATTATGTTATATCAATTATACTTTATTTATACCATCTACTTGGAAAAAAAGCAGTGATTGTGTGTGTGTGTGTTCAAGTACGGACAACCTTTGGTCCTCAGTTTGTGGAAATCAAACCCATGATATCTCTAAATCTGTTAGGCTGTAGTACCAAGTTCGACGTCTTATCCATTGCACATGAGTGGCCACATTTTAACGGTAGATTATTGATTAATATTGTGCCGTTTGTGTGATAAATGATAATTATATTGTGGTAAACGGGCTTCACGGGGCAGTATATCGCCTAGAATAATAATTTGAGATAACCAAGTTTCAAGTACAACTTTTAACCAGCCTATACGAATCATGTAACTCAATAGTGAACGATCCGACGCGGCCCATCGTGATTCAAATGTCAAATAAATCACAATATACAATCTGTTTTTTTTCTCCTCTCTCCCGTAAAGAAAAAAATGTTTGAGTCCTATTTACTGTTTAGAATTTTGAGTGCTTTTGTTCTTTTTTTGTTTAGTCCGAATAAATTTTGCACTGCAAAAAACAACAAACCCATTGTCTGGCGTCAGTCGGTAATCACAACTATGCGCCACGTCGTTAGGCGGACAAAAATATCTAGACAAAAAAAAATCATTGGCAAAAAGAAAATTTAATTCAATCAAAGAACTAAACGAAGCGCGAGCAACGGACGTGAAAGGAACGGGTTTTATTTGTTCAAAAATATTTTTCTCGAGTACAGTATTGAAATGTGTGACATGTGGTACGGTCAGTTCATTTTACAAAATTGAAAATGCAATTATTTACCTATTTACCTATAATTTACTCTCATCCGCCTGCGCTGCCCTTCTCTAGATTTAATGTAATTACATTAACAGGATTGATTGACATAATAACTGTAAACGTGTTTTTTTTTTTTTTATTTACGCTCAAATAATGAATATTATAATATTTGGACGCCGTTACCGACGATTTTCGAAGTCATTACTACCGGTACACTTGCCGCATTTGGCCGTGGCGTTAATGTTATTTAAAATCCAAAAACACCTTTCGACGAGCCCGTGTAATTAACGCGATAAGCGTGCAACAATTATAATAAGAATAGTAATTGATCACGCATGTGTCAAACATAAAAAAAAAAAATATCATAATAATAATTATCATTAGTATTAGCTATGTGTATACGCCGGTAAATAATTGGATATCGGGTTTATTTTTTTTTACTTGCCATCTCGTCGTTTTACGCACGATGTAAGTAAAATAAAAAATAAATAATAATTGTTTTTTTTTTTTTAAATATTTTTATAACACTCCCAATTTATAATATTATATTTGTGTTCGGTTTCCCTCTCGTCTTGTACGCGTTTTTGCTATAATCGTAATTCCATTACAAAACTTATCATAATAATATTATCGTATTAGCTTGTGCCGTTAACCGGCATTCGCCGAGGATGTTCGCTCAGTGTTCCACGCTTACATAACAATAATTATTATATTATATTAAACTCTGTTCTCGATTGTAAATAAAAAGATATATAATAATATGTATATGTGTATATAAGATATCGCGAAAACTTTCACAATCGTTTAATTATATCATTGCGGTATACGAAACGAGATGTACGAGTTTTGGCGGCTATCTTTTTAGCAATAAAAAATTGTATTGGGTTTTTTTCTTATATCTACATAGAAAGCATTCGCTGACAAAACTCCACGCTCGTGCGTAGATCTTACAACAATTTTGGCCATTATTATTATTACTTACACTATTATTATGTTATTATTAATATAATTTTTTATTTTTTAGCAGTAGACCTGGTCCGCGGCGGAAGGTCGACCCGAGAGAGACGACATCAAAAGACCACCGCGAACAGGACGGCTCCATATTACTATATATGTAGTAACGAGTGTGTATTGTGCGACGAATATTTGCCCGTTTTGGCAGAGATATAATAAAAATCTCGGCGTAGAAAGTGACGAGATCTTTGCCGGCGGTTATGGGCTTATAACACACTGTCGGACTTAGATTTTTATCTCAAATACGTTATCATCGCTGTTTAATTTACTGATACGCACTGCATATTTATAATATTATTTTTTTAAATGTTTTTTTTTTCAATTAACATAGTTGCGTAACTCGCATCCCGAAATTATTATGCACACACGATCATATCAGTGATATAATATAATGTTATTGTATTGGAGACATTTTCCGACACAGTCACATTGAATGACGCGCGACCCGGAGTAATTATAAATAGTCTGATAAACTTTTTACTAGTGTACAATTATTCGATTAGAAAATAAACTCTATTCTGCATAACAACCACTGTCTTCTTCTTCCCGCGATGTTCTTCTATTGTGGCGTGTATATTTTAAGAATCCCGCAATAAACTTTACTCCGTACGCTAATTATTATCAAATAACCGTCGCGGTCGTGACAAAAACAGCGCAAAAAACTCCATTGGTATTCTCCAAAATCACCTCGACCATCCTTCTCTACCCTCAGTCTAGAATTATATTTAATAGTTTCTTTGAAAACCAGTAGTGTCGAAAACTGGCTTTGTGTTTCTTATTTTGCGAAGATCCCATAAGGCATAAACTGGTATTTTATTTCAAGTTTATGCATTAGGTTCAGGTAGAATCCAACGAAAGGGTCTACCGGTCTACATTTTTGTTTCCCGCACAGAACAAATCGACAACTTTTCTATTACTATGAAATAGAAATTAGAATTTTTAAAACTTGTTAAAAAAAATGTTCCGTTATTTTGTTGGAAACTCGCGTTTACTTTTTCTCCCTTTGTTTTTAATATTACTCCACTCGACTCGGACGAAATAAAATTTAACGTTTTGACTCGCTATCCGATAGACTCGCTGACCCAATTTTTGGACAGTAAGTATAATAATGTGCGAGCTGGTTGCGGTACTGTCAAAAACGACTGATCCGGAAAACAATTTCATCTTGATAATGTGTTTGTTTCTCCGAAATTGAAATAAAAAAACTACAAATCAATGTAATATAAAAAAATCCGTTCTGCACATTGACCAGAGTAGCGGGTGTCATCGGTTTTTTGCCTTGATCGCCGGCTAGGTCGCTATGATGGCCCCCGACATGCACATTACCGAAGATTTATCATCAGGAGACTCTATTGATACTTTATAGGATCCGGATAAAGTCTGCGGGCACATAATGTCAAAGTTAACGGTTTTTTCCTCCCTATTCTTTACGACTGTTATTTTATATCTTATTGCTGTACAGTATTGCTCGGACACAACAATAACAACGACGACGGATCACGCGCAACTACGGCACGAAAAATATATATGGGTCGTGTGTTTTTTAAGTAGGAATTTTTTTTTTTTCGACGTTTAACTAGGTATAATATGTACACAGTATAATTACAATAAATTAAGACATTTTACCTCATTGAACATGCGCGATGATGTAAGTCCTAGTCGTCGATGTATCGCACACAATAACACCTATAGTATATTGTAATATTGTATGTATTAATTAATTAATACGCAGTTCGATCGGGTTGTCTCAAACACACGCTCGTGCAATTTTTATTTATTTTTTATTTTTTCCGTTAACACCCGAGGTAATTAACGTGGATTTAAAAATTAAATATCATTAAACAACAACAAATAATCGCCGTTCGGATTTATCGCACTTTTTTGGCGGCACAAGCGGCGGCGACGGCGACCGGAGTTCACGTCTGTTTGAGCGCACACCACGTGCGTCGTACTGACAATGTGCGGCAGTCGCAGTCCTCAGCACCGTCGTCTTCGGCCACTGACTCCAACGCTCAGCCCCCCCGTCCGTCCCCCGTGTACTGCAACAAGAGGTCCGCCTTTTTTTAAATTTATATTGTACATTTTTTCCCGCTTTCCGCTATAAGCGTACGTGTGCCTACGTTTTGCACGATTTGTATATTTTGTGATTATTACTCACGATCATATTATTGCGAAAATTAAAAAAAATATATATATATTTTTCAAAAAACTCGGGCATAGATCTTTCGTGCACGCTTATCCGCGCGTCAAGCTTATCCGTCGCTGGTCAAGTCACGTTATATACATATTTTTTTTGAACTACAGATTAAGAACTTTTTTAATCTAACAAATTTAGGCTGATGTGTTTTCGTTATCAGCGTTTAAAATGACAAAGAAAATAGAGAACGGAAGGACATTTACGTATAAATGGTACACTTATTAATTTTCAAAAACATACTGCGAATAGAAGTTTACCTTTACTAATTAGAGATTGCAATGTAAATCTAAGAATTACATGACATCCGTAATTTTTATCATAATTAATAAAGTGTACGATGTTCTAAAAATCAAGTGTAGTACACGGTAAACTGTTTATACCTATTTCAAAGTGTGCAACTTGAGAAAATTGGGAGAAGTTAAAAAAAAAACAATTATTAGTCATCACATACGACAATATTGCATTATCGGTTTTTAAATATTAGAAACTAATAATGTATATGAACACATTCCTAAACACAACGAAACTCTTCAACAAAATTCAAAAACTTACTTACAAATTATAAATTGTCAAATGTACATATAAAAACCAAAAATTATAACTAATGGCCTCAGTAGTCGAAGTTGTAAATCTAGATCAATAAAAAAAAAAATATATATAACATAAAAATTTAACTATTATGTTTAGGAGCAAGAAATGTGATTAATATAGGACACTTAGCCTGTTTGTAGTGTATGATCAAGCGAATCATTAGAGTGATAATTTTTTTATTAGCACTACCGATGGCGCCTATCATAATTAAACATAATAATGCGGCGATGCAATAAAATCATTTGGGCGGTGTAACCTATTCTGGTAGTGGCCACTAACGGCTAACCGGTGTTATTAAGTTGTTTACATTGATAGACACACTATGTGTTTGTTATTGAACGGGACGTTGGATGTATATAATTGACTTATTTTTAAACGGTTCTATATTAGCCAAAATTGATTATAGTAACTTAATAAAGTTTTATGGTTTCGTATAGTAGTTTAGTTGTACTTAATATTTTAAGGAAAGTTCACACAATTATTTTATGACGTGTTCTCCACGCTGGAGTTAAAACTTATAATACATACTTGCCATACATTGGTCGCAATATTTGTTAGGTCAAGTTTCAGTTATAAATTTATATTATTAATACATATGTGTCGGTTTTGTTGTTTTCCTTGGTCACGATTACTCGATCGCTTAACAAAATATGAGAACATCTAGAAAAAAATTCCGTGTTAGGCCTGTAATGTGTGCACAATACATTAAAAGATCATCCATATACGTTTTACATAATTTAACTTAATATATTCCTGCAACGTGCGGTTCAGTGAATAATCGCCTAGGCTGGTATTGATTTGCATAAGTGAATATAGAATTGTGGAACCAATTATCTATATGATTTCACCAATACCATAAATACTACTTTATAACATACTAATATATAGAAAAAAACGTTGCCAAAACCTTTTATAAATAACGAATTAGGTTTTTTTTACTTTAATTTTTTTTTAAATTGGTTTTTTAGTTGCTTTATACACAAATACTGGTTTGAGTTTTCCTCGATGATCTATGCTGCTTAAAGACATTTAACATATTTGAAAAAATATTTTTTTTTTAGTATTTAAAAAAATATATAACGCAGTTTACAAATATATAATTGCTTCTTAACTAGGCAAGAATATTCGGTTTTTTTTCTGTTCGATAAACCTTTGTTAATAATTATAATATGTCATGTGTGGTTGTATACGTAAATTATGCTGCAGGTATCTTATTTTCCAACAACGTTGCATGTTTAGAATCAGACAACTCGTTATAAAGTGTCCAAAAGAAATTATAGTATAATAATTAATATTTATGTCGGTACAAAAAAAAATATGTTTACATTTAGACATACGTATTGCATTACCTACTTAAGGTGCAGCGTAGGTTAACAAATGTGTATGCATTTTTTAATGACGTAATATGCTTGTTTTTAAGTATTTATTTTATACCTTATGCGTGCAATAGATTATTAAATAAGAATTGTCAATCTATATTCGACAAAATAGATAAAATCAAAATTAATTTTATAAAGTCTATAATTATGACCATTATAGCATTATAAGAAATAATTAAGAACACCCGTTTTGTAATAGTAATAATTTTAGCATCGAAGCCAAGCTAAGAAAATATTTGTTTGAATTAATAAAATCAAAGGTGACAACATTCGGTATTGTAGATGTAGTACAATAAATCGTTTTGTCGTATTACAATTTTTGTTTTTAAATTCATTTAAATAATAGCTACTTAAATGTTACTTATCCTATCTTTATTCCTCTAAACAAATATTGATTAATAAAACATTGCGTAGTGTATCGGGTGTAAACAGTTGTAGTATAAACTTTACGACTATAGCATTGGTATAATTTATTAAAAATATATTGTATATCTATGACTGAATAAAGGAAAATAATAATTGAGATTGCATGTATGATGATACAATGTATACCTAAGATAATATTTAAATAACTTTTTTTATCGAACACACTGTACACTTCACTATATTTTATATTGACTAGTTTTTATATAAATATAGTATAGTCCAATGTACACCTAATACTTTATGTTTGGTGTTTACTGTTTACATACAAAATAATAAGTCGTCAGCAATTTGTTATGACGTGACACTATTATTTTATATTATAAGCGGAACATAAGTATTATTGTGTCATATCATAATTCAGTCTGTTTTTTAAATAATTAATTATTTTAATGGTTTTATAGTATTAATATTATTATTTAACTATGATTAATAAATCCTTAATTGTTAAATTAATCATTAATTGCAAGTGATAAATTATGGTTTTTGTTCATATAAATTATACACTGAACATATATACTCCCTACCAACAGAAACAATTTATAAGGAGTACATTTAAGACAATTTATAGGTATTAAAAGGCGTGCCGCTTGAGACGTAGGTACACGACCAACCCTTAAGCCATCAAAATATAATGCATTCAAGAAAATAGAAATATATGTTTTTGTCAAAATAATGATTTTATTTAATACAATGTATGTATATTATATTCCTTAAATCTGAAGTAATAAAACATGTCATATAAAAGAAGTTATATCACTTATACTTTTCTTTTTCGTACATATATTTTTTGTCATTTATTTATGAAATGTCAAAAGTAAACATTAGTTAGTTGCGAAAAGTATAAACACCACCATTAACAACAACAGTTATACTAACATAATATTTAAAAAACAAATATTTTTCTTTAAATTAATTTTATGTTGTTAATTTGAGAAAGTAGATATAGTTTATAAGACTGATAAGTGTAATTTACAAGTGAAAATCAGTTTATTTCTAGTTTTCCAAAAGCTTAGCTTTTATTGTTCTAAGCGGCTTTCACAAATAATCGATTTATGTCGCCTGACAAGACAAGGGCGAACTCCTGTCACAATCGTAGATTACATACTATACCTAATACTATGTAGGTAATGTAATTGCATGTATATTTTATCTATGCTATAATATAGTTTTTCATAAAAAGTCTTAGGTCTGCGCCATATTGTGCTTTAAGCTTTATGAGTTATGGACCGAACATGCAAACCAATCAATGTAATAATATATTAACACACAAAAATTAATTTATTTTTCATTTTAAATTTCCCTCCGTTTCTTGGACCAATCACAAGACCACAGTTGGTGTTGTGATAACAGCAACACGTATCAGCTATTTATCTTTATCTTTGACTCGGTTTGAAAACCTAAACCCGATGGTCATCTAATCTGAATGTTATTTTACCAGGAAACTAGTTATTCGTGACAATAATAATTTTGCTGCCGATTTTCCCCAACTCTTCTCGTAGCTATGTTTTATAATATTATGTAGAAAACGATCGGTTGTATTGTCTTAGCGTTACATCACCAGCAATATGTTCGATTCGACTTCAATGCTGATTTACACGTTGTTCTACATCATAGTGTCGGCGTGTTTTGTGTTCAGGACAACTGAGTTCGTTTCTAACGGTCTGACGGTCGAAAATCTGTTTGAAACTTACATCGGCAAAGAGTTTGACGCTTTCGTTACGCATCACATCAAACGGACGGCGTTGACAGTCATCGTACACTCATGCATCCCGTTCGGTATGTACACTTCACAACTCTGTTACCTTGTCTTAGTATATCGTAGTGATAAAAAATGCAAATGTAATTATTTATTTAAATTAAGTAATATGCTATGTCTTTTGTCCGCCCAGTTTATTTGTTAGGAACGCTGATAGCTAATGATAGCGAAACCGAGTTTGTCTATAGACATTTTTACGAGCTGTGCTGTCTGGCTTTGCTGCCTATTATCTGTTGTTGCTCAGTCGTATTCAAATGGATGTCCAACGATTGGGCAAATCACCCTTTGGCCTTGTTGTTGAATCGATACGACCCAGCCGATTGGAAATTAGTAGCAAATGAAATTTCTACAGAATATCAATGGTAAGTTTATCGTTTAAACATTACACACATTAATGTAGCTATTTTGACTTGAATCATATTCCATGTGTTACAGCTTGCAAAAACTAACGTTGTCTTGCGGTACGCTCACTCGAACGATAGTCACTAATAATTGGGTTATCTCTGTTAAATCTCATTCGGTTTGTGTGGCCAAAAAAATGGAAAGTTCATTTATGGTGTATAGCTCTGATGATCATAGCTCAACACTCGACGGCACTCCCGGCTCAGTACAATTCATCAACATTCAAGTTATACCCATTCGAGCTCGTGTCAAATCATTCTTTATAAGGTGATTAATATTATATAATATTGTAATATATTTATTTGACTAATTTAAACTGTTTAAATAAATAGAATAAAAACTGAAGATTTCAAAACATTGGAAGAAAAAATTGGTCAACCTATTCAAATAGCTAACAATATTAAATTGCAACGTTCTAGAACCGAACGCTTTATTGAAGTGTTTCGGGATCAAGTATGCCAAAATCCAGTATATACTAACTTTACTGCCGCTGATGTACGTATATTTCAAACAAAATTAAATTACATAATTGATGTCAGTCCAAATAATATGCTATTGACCACTTTTTAAATTTTCGTGTTTTACCAAATATTAGCTATGAACCAATCTAATTTTATTTTAAGAATCATAACACTTCTTAGAATTTTCGTATCACACTTAGCTATCGTGCAATAAGCGCGAAAATCTGTTAAACCCATTGTTAAAAATGTTGTTTTTCATGAATACTGTAAAATTTGTTCAAAAACCTCTTCAGAAAAAAAGGCTGCTTTGGCCTAAATTGTATTCCATTCCATAAATATTAATTTATTCCTGAAGTCTTTAAAAGATATAGGTAATACTATGTTAAATTTAATCAATTTGAGTTATTCTTAACAATTGTATATTTTAATTATCATGTTTACCTTCCATGTTTATTGTTCATCAAATATGTGGACACAACATATTTCCTCAAAACTTCTACAATGCAATGTGGTCCTAATTTAATTGTTCCTTGATTATAATTTTGAAGTCATAAATTTGGAGTTTCATACTACAAATTGATTGTAAAATTTAGTCTCAACCATTTTTTAACTAGTGATAACCAAAGCATATTAGGTACTATTAAATAATTGTTCAAACCTAACCTATTTTTTATTTGATGCATAATAAGTTCATATAAGCTGCTAACACACTAGTTTTTCGAGTCTTTCCTTGGCTTGCGATTTTCAAAACTGTTGTGTTCAAATGATGTTATTCACATTACCCCCACTGTAGATTAACTGTTTTTTAATATTAAAAAAAAAAAAAACTATTCAAAAATTAATAATTGTTTACCATTTGTTATATGTTAAACTTTGACCAATGCTGATATGCAGGCTTTATTAATAAAGCACGGCTTAAGTTGCCATACAACTAATTGCATTTTACTAAAATATATACATTGTTAATATTAAAAATATTGGATACTTAATCCCAAAATTGTAATTTGGAGTTTCTCCCTCTTCGCAAACGCCCAACTGAATTATATAATCTTGGGTTACATCATTTTCTTTATGTTCTATGTATACACGCAGTTGGATGACTCTACGTGTGCCGGCTGCTTGGTAAACCCTCCGGATGTGAAACTTACCAAGTGTTGCGACGATACCGAAATCCCTGATATGCCAAATTGTACCTCTTGTCAATGTAGACCCATGTGGTGTGTTGATTGCATGGCCAAATGGTTTGTATTTAAAACGCTTAGATGAAAATTCATAGTTTTTTTTTTTTAAGTTAGAAATTGTATTTAATGATGGTTTAAGGTACGAGTCGAGGCAACCGCAGAACAACCCAACAATGTGGCTTTCGTCAAAATGTACTTGTCCTCTGTGCCGCCGTGTATTTTGTATACTTGACGTTTGCCCGTTGGCTAATACTGAATTGGCGCAACAAACCAGTTGATGGCTTCATAATAGTTTGTCATAGCCAATACTCATACTGTGATATTATATATATATATATAACTAGTATTCTTCTTATTATAATTTTTTTAAAAATATTTTACTTGTAACTTTGTAACGGTTTTGAACAGATTAAGTAATTGTTTTGCCAAAAAAACATTTGTTATTCTCTCAGAAACCAAAAAAAAAAGACATTTTTTATTCTGTGTACCTAACATAACCTAACCAGTTATAATTAATAATAATTAACAAAAATGTTCATCACAAAATACTTTGTAAGAAAAGACTTATTTTTTTTATATTATTAACTAAATTCAATCTATTAAATGATTTATGTTTAGACATTTTTAATTAAGTACATAAAAATAAGTTGAAGTTTTATTGGAAAAAAAAAACAACTTTTCTTAGTCTAACAGATTTTAACACTAAATTATATTTTAATAATAATAAAGTTAATTTTGCCAATATTTTGCTTCCGACTTGTAATAACAACTGTAAAATATTTATTTGTTTATAAACTATATTTCATGTTATACTAGATCTTTATTTTAACACTTTGGTTTAATTTTTCTGTCATAATTATATTACTATTGTATAAAGGTATTAAAAAGTTTTTAAACTATGATTTTTCTTTTGTTTAATAAAATATTACGTTTATGACTTTAATAGAATACATTTGAATCGATGCTATAAAATGTTATACATTGTTTTCCTATTAATTTACCACAAACATTTTAGATAAGACATAAAAATCTGTATTTTTACAAAAAAAAAAATATTTACTTAACCATTTAACAACCTTAACAATATAACATACTCAACAAAAATACAATATGCATATAAGTTTCGAACAAACATTTTTAAAAAGAAAATTTTTAATTTAGTTTTTTGTACTTATATTATTTTAGTTATGCTTTCGACTACAATTTTATCAAATTTTAACTAAAAAATATGCATTACTTACATATTATGCAATTCAAAGATTTCAGTTATTTAGTAGAATAAACATATTATGCTTAATTAATGTATTACACATAAAAGTAAAAAATTGTCAGTATAATTCAGGTAATTACTTCTACATACTATAAAACAAAAAGGTAAAATAATTTATGCGATTCGAACTAGTCTATATTTCTTACACAAGTAGTCGTTGTACGTAGTAATTAAAGCTATGGGCACCTACTGCTTCTTCGACTGTTCAATGGATTCTTCCACTATTTCAAAATGTAGTACACTATTTTTAAAGGTTTAAGTTAACCATTTAAGTTTTTTTTCTTCAAATTTAGTTTACTAAATACGATCAATTATAAAATATTTAATTAACAACTATTTTTTTTTAATATGTACCTACTAACTATACTAAGTCTTAGTAGATCCAACTATTTTTTCCGTGCATTGTAATAATTTTAAACCAAAATCTGAGCAGGTAACACTTTCATAAATTATAATATTATGTTTTTTGAAATTAAATAATGCCGAAATACGATTTTCTATGTTTCACGGCTTTATATGGCATGCATAGGAAATAGGAAATTGATGACCCTTCCGTGTAGTGAACGTTCGGCTACCAGTATGTTGTTTTTGTATAAATCAAATATTATATAGGTAACACCGGGTCGGTATGATAGAGGATCGTGGTCGCGTTACCGCGGAACACCCGTGCACACAGTTTCGTTTGTATCCTGCACATTCTGTTACAACTACTAGTGGCTAATAATCAGCACCGATAGACGGGACCCCCGGGTAGTGCGGTTTTAGACTTTCTAATCGGCCGAGTCAAGTATAATCGTGAAGCTGTGTATAAAAATTGAGTTTTCTTGGTTGTCATACGATGGCGGTCAAATCGCACCCACGATAGACACGCGTTATTAAAGTCTATCCTCGTGTCTTGTCATTTTTTTTATTTTTTTTTTTATTACGAATTTCCTCTTATTCGTGCCGTCCACGATATTTATTTTTTTATTATATAAAACAGTCGATTTTGGAGAGCGAAGAGGAAAAAAAAGTGTGTCACCCGCAGACGGTCTCACGCCAAGACGTCGGCTGTATGTTTTATTGACACTTGTGGTCGAGACGGACAACGGTTGATTAATAGAAATGTCTTCTTGGACAGCCGAACGGATTTCGATCATTCGCAACAGATGTGTATCACATTATTATATCTCATATTATTTTCTTGAGGAATACCTGCACACAGTCCGCTCTCGGTTTTGTGCACCGAATTCTCACGACAATAAGAATAACGCCATAGTTGAAAAAGTTAGGTTTTTTTTTTGTATTTAAATGTGACGGACTGTGTTTAAATCGTATACTATTAACAATAATAGACAATTTTTTTTTAGCTATTATAACAATATCATAGCGCACAGAATCACTGCTAATTTTAACAAGGCTAGCAATAAAATTGTTATTGTTGGCAGATCCGATACAATTTTTGTATACTTTTAAGTTATAAGTTTTTGTTCGAGTAGAACAAATTCTTGTAGACAAGGTTAAAAGCATTTATTCTAAACATAACTATCGTGATTATTATTTGTATTAAAATTTCGGATATCTAATACAAGTGTAAATAATAATATGAGTGTTTAACAAAACAATATATTATACTGATTTGGGTTGGCGCATGAAGAATACTAGATTAGCAATCAAATCAGACAAATTTTAATTGAGGTATTAAATATGTATTTTATAAGTTGTCTTTTAATCCGTTAAACGTTGTTCTTTTTTGACTTAACTGTATTAACTGTTTATTATGGATATTTGTTTTTAATCGCCTATTGTACTACATATTTCCATAATCCATGTAAAACAAACCTCATCATATAGCTGAACATTATTGTGTACACCGTTTAAAATAAATTCATTTGCAACAGGATGTTTATACAGTCTGGTTTAAAATTAAAATCAACTAACATTCTTGTGAAAACAACGAATTAATATACATAGTCTTAAACTCTCTACTTTTAACTGAACGCGGAATATAAACGCACAACACGTGATCTTATTTAGTAATTACTTATTTTCATTATACTTAATTCAGTGAAAATGTATTGACAATTGCAAGAAATAAATTGAGAGTGAACAAACTAGTATTTAAGTACTAAATAGTTCAGATTATTCGAACTATCCAATTTTTTTTTTACCGAAGTTAAATAATACAATTATTATTGTTTTAAATAAACGTACCTTTATATTCACGTTTTGTAACAGTTTTTTATTATTTAACTTGGATTAAACAATTTTTTTTAAATTTCTAATCCAAACATTCGGATAATCCGTCAAATTCGGATACTTCAGTATTAAGGATTTCAGTGACATCAGTACTTTTATTTTATATGGTTTTGACTCTATTGAAAGACCCAGGCAGCACCTGACGGCACGGCAAACTGTCTTGGCGTAGAGTAAGTGGATTTCGTGTTACTTTTTTAAAATCATAGAAAACAACCAAATTACAAGTTCTGCTTCGAGAAGTATTTTTTACTTAACTCGTAATACTGGATTATCTTATGTTGTATTTATTTCCAACGAATACATTTTGTTATATGGGATACACAAACCTTACCTTTATATTTTTTATGATAAAATCCCACCGGTTTTGATATTTTGTTATACGGATAAAACTTCGAAGGTTCTTAAGTTCTTATTTTAATTTAATTACAAAACATTAATTAAAACAAATGGTAATTTTAAACCTTTCATTACATCAAAATCTGAGGTTTATAATATAAGAAGACTTTCTTTTAGAAGAAAAAAATAATTAGGTATTTGAAATTGTACTTTTTTTTCAGGGCAATACAAGAATGTTTTTGAGCATTATAGTAATAATATGGAAAGAAACAATAGAAACACTACTCTCCCAAGAGTTTCAAAGCAAACATTATAAGATATATATTATATTCTGTAACTCAGTGTGCTCTCATTTAGTCAATTGTTAATAGAACTACTATAATAGCAATATTAACAGTTGTTTTCAATTTTTACTTTCAATAAAAACTATAACACTTACAAGTCAACATAGTCATTCGATTCATTAGCGTTTCAGCCGTTTAAGAAAAATATCTCTATAATTGTGTTAAAAAAAAACAAGAGCATATGTGAGAAACTTATTATCTCTATTAGCATTCCGTACGAATGCTGTCTACTACCTATCATTTTGATTTGTTATTGCTATTTTGTGGTTTGTACGGTGTACCAAAGTAGTCATACATGGACCCATGGTACATCTTAACATATTATTGTCTAACCGGCAATATTTATCAAGGTCGTATGGCAAGACTTTGTACCTATATAGTCAAAAGTCAAAACCGAAACCCCATATAATCCGAATTAATTCCGGTTTTTAAACATACGCTTTTTTTTAAATAAATTAATTAAAAATTTTAATTTGTGGCTAAAAAGTGAAATTAATTCGGGGTTTTACCCGGTAATAATAAACTAAATAATTCGTATAGTTACACAATATAACAAACATCATAATATTTTGTTTTCTTTGTACCTATGGGTGCACAGAAAAAAACTAGAACGGAATCCGGACGAGTTTTGCGGGTTGGCCGGAGCAAAACGGCATGTACAATAATAATTAATTATAGTACGGCAATCATCTTCTTAAACGACGGTATTTAGATCGCATAGTTGTTTTGATAAACTTACTTTAAGCAGCTATTCCACGACATCAAACGTGCATAACATTACTTCGTGTTCCCGTGTACTAGTGCACACACATTTCAAACTCTAACATATACTATAGTTGTAGCTTTACATCGATCATCTATGTAGATAGCTTAAGCTTACATAGTTCATGATCTAGAAAACTATTTTGAATTCTTGGAGAAATAATTTACTGAAATTGTTTGTTTAATGGTTTATGATTATTATTTATTATCCCTATACAGTAATTGGTTTTACATAACATACTATTTATTATAAGAATATATACGTTAAAAAAATTTAATTTACAAAATAGTTTTGAATTGACTGCTTGAATGTTCTGATTCAGTAATCAGTTTACAACAGTTTATTATAAAAAAAACGTGGAACAACTAACCAAAAAGTTGTTGTGTTATATAAGTAAATAAAGTTTGAACACGGTGATAAGACCTACATGTTTATTTTAAATATTATACAGTGTTACTCATGTACTTTTTATGTCACTTTAAAATGGTGGTCTCAATATACTACGACTCAACCGGAACCTGTATATTTCTGCAATAAGTAATTTATTTTATAACTATGATGCATTTTTGTAAAAAAAAACCGTGATATATCATTACACAATTTTTTCGTCTTTAATATTTTTTT